GGCACTTTACCATTAGCTTCCCCACTCCCAAGTTCCAAGGGCCCTTCCTTTACCTCTAGAACTTGTTTGCTAAGCCCATTTCTTCTAGGAATTACTTTTTCTACCTCTATAATTTACCAAATAAATGTTCTCTTTTTTTTTCACCCCCCCTCCCCCAAATAAATGTTCTCTTACAAAAAAAAAAAAAAAATACCCAAGGGGGCTAGAAGTGAAAATTGTGCTAGTTGAAACTATGCTAGAAACCTAAGCTAGAAGAACCTTTGTCTTTATATATATTTGGTACTTAATCCAGAGGTAATATTCATAGTAACACTTTTAATAAATGCAAGAGACATTACTTAATAAATATCGGCAACCCAAGTAGAAGCCTGCAGAGGCTAACTCCATATATAGTCTAAAGCAGGATTTTTTAAAATTCAGGTTGTAGTAGATTGTAAAATCAATTGAGTTATAACATTTTTAAAAATAACACATCCTTGACATAATAACGTAAGGCAGGAAATCAGAGTTCATCATATATAGTAAAGAGAAATACTATTTCACTTTTTTACATACCTATATTTATGGGTGTACTAGGGCATACTGTAAAATGTATTCCTTACTTTGAGTGGCAATCAATAAAGTCTGAAAGCTACTGGTCTGAAGAGAATTCCTTTCAAACAATATAATGATTATAAGGCTAAAAACATGTTGCTTAGCCTACAGCCTCACTTTTTAAAAAATCTCAACCCTCACTAAAAATAGTTTATTTTGTGACAAACACATCAATAACTGAAATAAAAATGTTATGAAACAATATTTACTCTTAATATGTGATGTCCTCTAATATTTTTTTATTCCATTTTATTTCTTTTAAATGATGATTGTAAACCTCAGCTTAAAAAGTTCAGGGCCAGGCCTGGAGAACTCTGTCCACATACCATGGTCCTTCCAGAGCCACCTTCGTCGGTGTTTGTATCACTGCCACTGTGGTAGCAAGCACTCCCTCCTTTCGCTTCCTAGGTTTCTGTGTAACTACTACATGACCTCTGCAACCCAGTTTGTCCAGCGAGAAAAACACTTGTAGTCAGAAGCAGATACAGAGCATGGCGCAGATGTGGACAGAGCCCCAGCCACACGTCCTCGCACTTACCACCGCGGCATACCGTGAGAGCAGCACCTTACTACAGCCCCTGCAGCCCCCAGCCTGAGGACTGATGGGAGTTGGAGGATAAATATCCCAGCCTTTTGGCCCTGGCCATGTTCTTCACAATCTCCCTGAGTTCCTTAGCAGGACTGAATACCAGCCAACACCAGTAGCAACCTGCTCCGTAATGCACCCTGCGCTGGCTTCCTTCCCACCCCTTCTCACCTCCCTACTGGGGCTTCCTGGAATCACCTCTCACATTAAAGACTTGCACTCAAACCTCTATCTTAGGGTTTGCTTCTGGGTAAATGTAACCCTAGTGAGCACACCCGTCTAACATAGCGTTGTTTGGAGCCAGGGCTGCAGAGATGAGAAAGGCCTGTCCTAGAAAAGCTCATAATCTGATAGAAAAACCAATTATTTTTTTAATGTAAAAAAACAACAACTTTGCTATTCATAGCAATGACATAAGTATGTCTGGGGAGGGAAGAAGCAGCAAACTCTGACAGAAGGGTCAGAAAAGCCCTTATTGGTGACTTTTTTACCCAAACACCTCAAGGACACAGAGTTCCCCAGAGGAGTCAGCAGGTGGTCAGTGCTACCTATAGGGGGGGTGGTCCATGTTCACTTCTCTGTAGGCTAGTGCCCTGGTTTCTCACATTACTGTGAGGCTTTACTTCTTACATCTAGGTTAAGAAGAAAGAGGTTTTTATTTTCTCCAAAGAGAAAGGTTTCTATTCTAGTCTTCAGCTAAAAATAACTCAAGTAATATAGATTATATGAAGGAAGAAAATCTATTAAGTTCCTGAAAATGTGTTAATAGAATTATTTGTAAATCAGCTTTAATCTTTTTATGCTCCTTTGAGGTCCTTAGAGGATTGGAGAACACGACCCAAATCTTCATTAGATGTTCTGAAGAACTGCTGATATTTTTATTTGTAAGTTGTTGTTTTTTTATGTAAAGTTTACTACATGTTAAGCCCTGTGATCAACACTGTAAACCAGGACTTTTTTCAGACTGGTATCCAAGAGAGACCTTTGGCTAATTTTCCTTTGCATCTTCCATTTAGCAAATATTTCAGCAAAGGCAGAGCAGCAACATAATTCCTTCCCTTTCAGGAAAGGAGTCATGACAGTGGGTCCTTATACCGAAAACAGCTTCTCCAATGTGCCAGGTACACCTGGGCCTGGGACTAGAATACTCACCCTGACCCGGCAGGGAGTGACGCTAGAGTCGAAGGGATGTTAGTCTGTGGTTTCTCTTTCTCATTTTGCTTGAGGAAGGATTTGGCCTCTTTAGATGTAGCATCTACCTCCTTAGTCACCCTGTGCCAAGGAAGGAAACATTAAGTTTACAAAAGAATTAAAAAGACAGAAACAAATCTAAATAAAGGGAATAAATGATAAGGAAAAACATCCACTGGGCTTTCAATAAGTTCTGGCTGCTAAGCTTTATGGTTCAAGTTTACTACAACAGATTTAACATTTAACATTCATTTAACATTTTCCCATGCTAAATGAAACAGCAATGCATATAAACTTGAACTCTCTAAAATCCCCTCCATTACTTCTGTCAGCATGAAACACTCCAGTAGTCACTACTGAATCACAGTCCTTGTGGGTTATTGATGTGAAGGCTGAAAAAGGCTCTCCTACTGCACCTCACATGTAGATTAGGACTCACATTTAAAGGCCTAGTAAAGCCCTAGTTGGTTTGGCTCAGTGGATAGAGCGTTGGCTTGCAGACTGAAGGGTTCCGGATTCGATTCCAGTCAAGGGAACATGCCTAGGTTGCGGGCTTGATCCCCAGTAGTGGGTGTGCGGGAAGCAGCTGATCAATGATTCTCTCTTATCATTGATGTTTCTCTCCCTCCCTTTCCCTTCTTCTCTGAAATCAATAAAAAAATATATATATATTTTTAAAGGCCTAGTAAAAATTGGAATGGGAAATGAAATATTTGGGAGAAAAATACTGGTTTTATTTCAAAGAGAAAAGCAACAGTATAAAATCTGAAAATACTCTGCAGAAGGTCCTATTCTACACCCAGAACCTAAAGATGAAACAAGATCCCTTAAAGCTGACTAATTTGGCACTAATTTGGGAATGGAAGAAAATTATAATTGAGAATCCTACCCAATTTCAAATCTGCAAAAATTGCCCTCAATAAAACTGATGATCAAATAAGGAGCAAAGAAGGATATTCATGGTGCCTGAAATTTCAGATAAAGAAAGAGAAATGCCTAATGCCTGCCTAGGCTTGCCAATTCAAAAACATCTGAGGAATTTTGTTTAAATTCCAATCCATCTGTAGGAGGGTGGAAAATTATAGTCATTGTGTTATGGGTGTTCAACCAGGTCATCGAGAATAAGACTGGCCAAGAATAATGACAGGCGAATCCTATAAATTCCATCTTTGCAGGAATGTAAGTCTCTATCTCTTCTCTCCTTCCTTGTAGGCTACTTAGGAGCAGAACCAAATTTTCTTATCAAGAGCCATCTCACTCCTGCACTCAGTACTGTGTCACCCACAAAAGTGACACAGAATATATAATTTTGAGAGTTTTATATTAAGAATCTTCACTGGGGAAAAAGAAAAAAAGGAAAGAAAAAAGAATCTTCACTGGGAAAGACTGAGGAGTTACTCTTGAGGAGTGACTTAAAAAACTCAGTCCCCTACTCAAGTTCTTGTGATGGCTCAGTATTACTCGAGAATCAAACATAAGCTGCTGAACCTTGCCTTCAAAGTCCTCTAAAATCTGGACCGACTTTCTATGAGGTTTGTGTCTTCTCAACTCTCCAAACAAACCTCTCAGCAGTAGAGTCGAGAGTCAAAACTAGAGAGAGAATGTATATGATAGATTAAACCATCATTGAGCAAATATTCACTCCTTCCCTCTTAACCTACTTCCCCACCCCACTGATGTTAATCTTGGACACATGACTTGTTTCAGTGATCAGTCAGATGCTAACTGATTTGACAGCAACAGAAGCTTTAAATGTTTCTGTTGTTTCATGAGCCCCTTGACAATCTCTAGCCATAAAAAGAATATGCCTCAAGCAGCTGCTGGTCCAAGGTGGGTGAAAGACACATGCTGCAGATCTGAGCCAACCAGTAGCTTGGAGCCAAGCCTAGATCACCTGAGCCCCAGCCATCCAGAAACACACTAGCAAAAAATAAATGCTTATTGGTGTATATCACTGAGTCTTGGGATGGCTTGTTATACAGTAGTTCCGCAGCAACAGCTAACACATTTACATTTTATGAGTGAGAAAAATTAAATCTTCAGGGATTCAGTTACTTTTTTCAAGACTAGTCAGAGATTAAGTAGCAATGCTAGAGAGAACCCTGTAGATGTGGAACCTATAAAAAAATGACATGGCCTCTGCCCTTAAGGGGCTCACAGTCTATCAGGGCAGCCAACCATGAAAACAAGTATGAAAATAAATGATCTAGAGTTAAGTGCCATTAAAGGGAGCATGGAAAAAGTATAACCGTGAGAGTATCTCTGTTAATTTCTAGTGTCAAAGTCCTATTCATATTGACAGGAAACACGTTCTATAAACTGGTGTATTTCTCTCAGGGTCTTTGCTAATTGACATAAAGTAGTATTAGCATAGTGGTTCTCAACCTTCTGGCCCTTTAAATACAGTTCCTCATGTTGTGACCCAACCATAAAATTATTTTCGTTGCTACTTCATAACTGTAATGTTGCTACTGTTATGAATCGTAATGTAAATATCTGATATGCAGGATGGTCTTAGGCGACCCCTGTGAAAGGGTCGTTTGACCGCCAAAGGGGTCACGACCCACAGGTTGAGAACCGCTGAATTAGCAGATTACTCTTCATTGATAGTACACCTAAAAGAACTCCTTTTAACAAGCAATAAGAAGAGATCCAGCTATCAAATATCTTCAAGTAGGAGTGGTTTAAATTACAGACCACTTCTAATATATAAGAGGGAATCCTGACAGGAAAATGTCCACTATTAGCAGTAGTTAATTCAAGTGTTATCAGCAGAAATTACATTTTAAGTTCATTTTCACTTACTCAGAACTTCCTGAAAAGTATTTATTTAGGCACAAACTTTCCATGACTAGCCTTTTCCAAAAGGTGAATCATTTAGGAAAGTCTGAGCTAACTGGCTCAGATGGTATGTGATAGGGAAGGATAAAAAATACTACTTTTCCTCATTCCCCTGGTTAATAAGCTACCCATTTTTCAAGTGTGTGTGTGTGTGGGGGGGGGGGGGGGTAAAGACCCAAAATTTAACTATTAAAGTATAATTAGAAAAAACTAAAAGACTAACTTTGTACTAATGCTACCATATGCTTATACTTACAAATTCTTCCCAGTCATCACTAGTTCTTTCCCACATTTCTTAAAGATGTAGTAATGCTCTTAACTTCATACAAAAAGAAAAAGCAGAATGACATGAAGAGAGTAAAGATATGCTTGAATCGAGACACTACGTTTGCATCTGGTTGTCAATTACAATTCAGGCCATAGCAGCACAATTTACAATAGCTAAGATTTGGAATCAGCCTAAGTGTCCATCAGCAGATGAGTAGATTAAAAAACTCTGGTACATCTACACAATGGAATACTGTACTGCTGTATAAAGGAAGAAACTCCTGCCGAACCGGTTTGGCTCAGTGGATAGAGCGTCGGCCTGCGGACTCAAGGGTCCCAGGTTCCATTCCGGTCAAGGGCATGTACCTTGGTTGCAGGCACATCCCTACTGGGGGCTGTGCAGGAGGCAGCTGATCGATGTTTCTCTCTCATCGATGTTTCTAACTCTCTATCCCTCTCCCTTCTTCTCTGTAAAAATTCAATAAAATATATTTAAAAAAAAAAAAAAGGGGAAGAAACTCCTACCATTTGCAACAGCATGGATGGAGCTGGAGAGCATTATGCTAAGTGAAATAAGTCAGTCAGAGAAATATAAATATCACATGATCTCACTCATTTGTGGATTATAATGAACAACATAAACCAATGAACAAAAACAGATCCAGAGACAGAGAAACATTGATCAGATGCTCAAACCTCAGAGGGAAGGTAGGGGAGGGTGGGGGTAAGGGGGAGAGATCAACCAAGAGACTTGTATGCATGTATATAAGCATAACCAATGGACGCAGACAACAGAGGGTGAGGGCAGGATTGGGTGGGTGAGGGGGGGGGGGGCCAATGGGGGGATAACCACACATTTGTAATACCTTAATCAATTAAAAAAAAATTCAGGCCTTCCAAGTCAGTACATGAGAGTTCCTTATGATAAATTTAAATATAATTTAAGTTAAAAAAAAATCCTGCCAAATTGCTATTTAGTTTTCTTTAAAAGAGTTAGAGAACTTTGACTTGTCATGTTATATAGCTCTATAATGTATGTTTTAAAAATAATAAGCATAGCCCAAACCGGTTTGGCTCAGTGGATAGAGCGTCGGCCTGCGGACTCAAGGGTCCCAGGTTTGATTCTGGTCAAGGGCATGTACCTTGGTTGCAGGCACATCCCCAGTAGGGAGTGTGCAGGAGGCAGCTGATCGATCTTTCTCTCTCATTGATGTTTCTAACTCTCTATCCCTCTCTCTTCCTCTCTGTAAAAAATCAATAAAATATATTTTTTAAAAAATAAGCATATATTACTTTTGAATGTTATATTTATGAAAAAGTGCTTCCCTATTTGTTGACAGATATGGTGCTGCCCTCTTGTGACAAATCATAGAAATAGCAGTCTCCCTGAACATCCATCCAGTATTTAAAATTGCCATTCATTTGCTTTAAAAGTGAAATAGGAAATTTGTGTCAAACAACTTTGTTAATAAATAGTAGTAAGTCCATAAAATTTAATTTGATCAGGAAATTTAATTATTTCTCAAAATAACGGTTATCAGCTTTTCTTACTCTCATGTACAGCCAGTGGTTGTTATAATAAATCTTTCTTAGATGTCCTATATGACACATGGAAAATAAAGCAAATCTTATTTCTAAAGGTATATTAAACACTTTCAGTATTATTTTTGTAGGCCTTCCAAACCATTAAAGGTTTAACATCAGTGTTCTGCTACCCTCTATTGGACAACTCCATAGTTTCCAGGGTGATCTCTGGTCAAGAATGGATCTGCAAAATGACTGTTTAGCAAGGAAAAGGGTATTTTTACAATGGAGAATTCTGAAAGATATTGCCTTAAGTGGTCTAACTTATCACCACCAATACTGGGTGCAGCGAGGAGGAAAAAGCATCACCAATGTAGCATTTTTATCTAAAATTATTCATCTGACTCTACGCATGAGAAAACAATTCAACAATCCAAACTAAGGGACAT